GTCGGTCCATATCAAGAATCCATGCTAAAAGTGTAGATTCTTCAGTATCTGTCAATTTGCGACAATTTGCAGTTGAATCTTTGCGAGCAGTAGTCCCATTAACACGTGTCATAAAGGTCCTTGGAGGCACGTCAAAAGCTTTGGCAGCTGCAGTTTTTGATGGAAAAAGACCTTTCTTATAGGCTTCAAGTGCTAATTGCATACGCCCTTCTTTTGATATATCAGCCATGACGCGGTGCGTTGGTAAATCGCGATAAATCCGATGATAGGGGGTGGCCGAGGTGGTGGCCGCGCAGCTCGGTGGTCCGCGCAGCTCGGTGGTGGATTACGTTAGTATATATATATCTATCCTTAATTACCTTTTATCATTTATATATATAGGGGACATCTACTCTTGTTTTTATCTTCTTATCACAAAGTTAACAGTAGATCTCTAACCAGAATATAATAGGCAAGAAACTTCTGAAGGAGAACAGGAAAATGAAACAAAAGACCAGTAAAGTACAGTCAGATAGGTATCTTGGAAGATCCTCGCACTTATCTCTGGTGGCACGTGGTTCGTCTATTCCATTAATAAATCCGGCTGTGCAAAGTTCATACTCCGTACGCCTGTAAGAGGCCTGTAAAAGGTGCTTTAAAAAAGCAAGAAAAAAAAAGGAGAGAGAAGAAAAAGAAAAGAAAACAATTGCAGAGATGATGTAGACAGTCTATCACATCAAACCAACAATGCCAGCATCTCGTTTCTGTTTCCATATTTTATCACATTTAGAGCAATCTAACTCTTTGTTTTCAATAACCTACAAAGCACAATGATAATGATAATACGACTCCAAAGAGTCCTCTAGCTACTGATTTGAATAATCCAGTTCCCTTCTACATCCTAAGTATACTTAACTGACTGACTTGACAACCAGCTCAAGATATTACTGCGGCTGCCGCCCGTACGGAGTAGTCGATGTGCTGCTCGTGATCATGCGTGCACATACCTTACCTTACCTACCCGGGTAAATTCCATCTAGGCATGCCGCATGCTGCATGCTTTTCCCACAGCAGCCCTGTACATGTACCTATCTGCATTATTGGTGGAAATACCCTTCCTAACCTACCTGGGTAGGTAGGCACTCGAGCAGCAGAACAATGGCCAGAACTAAACGTGCTAGCTTACCATGTAGTTTGAGGGAGATTCAGTATATCGTACTTCATGGAGTATGTTTTTTCTTTTTTGCTCTTTGGAAAGGATCACTGTGCCGGTGGAAGAAGGACCAATATGGTCATACCCCTATCTATCTAGTAGTAACTTATTTTTTAAGTTTCTTTAATTAACTCTAAATTATAAGAAACAAATTGCATTATTCAGGTACTATATGACAAAGGAAGAAAGTTTTTTTTTTTTTTAAAAAAAAAAGTTAAAGAAAAAAAATGGTTCGGGAGGATACTATCGCGGATAGGTATATCGCAACCTTTGGTCCCTTTTTTGTTCCTGTCCACCTTTTCGATACTTAACCTACCTACCTAACCAGACAAATGGAACGAACGTATTTTGCGCTCTGTGAGCATTCAGAGAACAGAGAAAAAAGAAGATTTATACTCTCGCTAATAATCATCACAAAGAGATTCAAATTGGTTGATCTCAGCTGAGCAGCTACTACTTCTTTCTGCATTAGACTCTAGAGTACTCCGTAGTCAGGGCTCCTTATACCTAAAGCGTTGTACTCCGTACTTCGTATCCCCGCGGCGATCAATCTGCATGCCAATCGACCAGCTGTCCATCTCCCTTCTCTACTACTCCATAAATGCAGGCTTCATCCCAGCCGTCCAGCCTAACGATCTATCATGATTATCATCTCTCATTCCCCGCACTTTACTAGTCTGGCTAGTCTCCTACGGTCCTACCAGGTACTACTACTGACTGCTGCATAGTAATAAATAAATCGTATTAAACGTACGTATGGCGCACTACTTCTACACTCTACGAAGTGCGTTTTCCTGCATGTAGGATGATGTAGCTGCAGCATGATGGATTCGGACCGGACTATTGACGGCTCCCCCACTTTTCTGCACTGAGCAGAGTCGACAGGACTGAGAAGTATGTCATTACGAAAGGCATCTGAGAAATTCATCATTGTTCTCACGGTTCTCATGTTTTACCACCGGGCGGCGTTCTGAGTTAGAACAGCAGATATTACGAATTCGTTACAGCTGTCTTACACGCTGACACTGTTGCTGATCTATGCATCAAACTCAATGCAAGGATCTGCAATGTCGCGCTCAGGCCTTGACCTGCGCGAAGAAATAAGCTTCCCAGCCCGAGCATTCCGGCATGCCTTGGAGGATCCTGTCAAAACCTTGCAGTGATCTGATCCAAGCTTCCGAAATAGCTAATTGATCTGGCGCGCGACTTCAGCAGAGGCAGATCGAACTTCAATCGGGCCGATCGCTCCGTGCTCCGAGGTGCAGCATTTGTGTGTGCTGATGCTCCGGACAGAGGAAACAGACCTGGCTACCCCGGTAACGATTCGCTCATTCGCCCGTTCCTGATTGGACCTCCACCTGGGAGTTGGGCCTTTCTGTGCAAGTCGGGGCAAGATCGTCAACTGCTCTGCCCGTTGTCGGCAGCAAAATGATGTCTCACATGACGATTGCTCCTCTTCCTCTACGGGAAGATGTCGATCCGTCTAACATGCGACTATCGAAGTCTTTTTTTCCTCGGTACTCCGTAGACTAACCACCTGTTGGCCACTAAGCTGACGATGGAGCTGCATAGCTCACTCAACAGGATGCTCTAATTCCAAAACAGTGTCATAACTCATAAATATCAGCAGGCCAGAGCAATTTCAGATCCCCGATGACATCGATGGCTGGGTGATGTCTATTTATGCCGACGCTGCTACCCCGTCCGCCCAACCAAACTGGCGGGAAGGCTTCCCAAAGGAGGAAGAGAATCGAGCCAATTCCAGGTATCCAATTTAACCAGTAGATTGGCGTCGAAAATTGCAATTCTCAAGAGACTGCGGTGGGGGCGTGCGAGCCAAGCACCGACAAGCCTAAAGAATGGGTCAATCGTGGGGAGATGGGCCCGATTGCAGCTAGGCGCCTGGACTAATCGGCCCCTCTCGATCTGGCTGCATTCGGTGATTATTATCACGGACTCAGGAGCGACACGAATTCACCAGAATCGTCTAGGTGATATGGAGGATATTTTTGAATACTCAGGGAATGGAAATTGTTCTATCTGGAACTGGTATCCGACAGTTCATCGGGCCTTCGGTGACGTTGGATCCTCCGGCCGCCAAGCTCCTGCTACTGCTAGCGAGTCGCGCTGCCGAATCCAGCAAGACGGCGCCTTCCTTGGATCAGCAATCGCATCCGCCATTCGTTATCGCCCTGCTATTCACGCTTCTTCTTATGCTGCCCCTCTCCTCGTCTGCAAACCTTCCTCAACGCCGTGTTATTGTTATTGCGATATCCAAGCCCAGCCACGCTGATTTATCAGCGCTGCACCGCCGTGCCGATGTTCCCGGCGGGCGTTTGAGCTCCCGGCAGTCTGCGTCCCAGATGCTCCACCCACTCCCTGCTCTCTGACATCAACTGGCTTGCGTCGCCCCGGTCATCGGGCGGCTTCCTCCAGCCTGCTGCGTTGGCTCCGGATGATTACTTCACCCATCACCCTCTTCCCATTATTCACTTCTTGCTCGCCCCCCTCTCATTCTCTCCTGCCTTCGCCTGGGCCGTCCGAAAGTCGGCTGTCGGCCGCACCAACCTGGGCCAGGTGGATGACGGCCGCATTTCCTGTCCGTCTCTCATATATTATTTACTAATAATCCCCTCGTCGACCGCGCTGCGACGCCCATCATGATCTCTTGGCGCCATCCCCACACCAGCTGGGGTTTTTCCTGGGGTTTCCCATTTTCCTGCATACTGCTACTATTACTATTATCGGGCGTCCAGGCACAGGACTCCCCGGGCACCGCAACCTCGCCCTCGAACAGCTCCAGGGATCTCGCCCAGGTTGGCCCGTTGAGATTCTTCTTGCACAGCGCCCAGCTTCAGCTTCCCTCCCCGGTGCTCCTGGCCCCCCTCACTCAACCGCTCGCCACGCTTAGTCTAACCGATTTTACGGTACGTTTCACCCTCAGCCACAATCGTTACGACTAGTCTGGACGGGAGCCGCTGACATCCGGGCTGCCACGCACAGCAATTCAATTTATCAGGCCAACTACTGGCCGTCGATCCCTCCAACTCGGTAGCTGTCGACGATTCCGACATCGCATTTATCAGCTGCGATCCATCTTCCTACCCCGGGGTCCTCAGTGCCGGTGTGACCATTGCGAATGTGATCCAGTCTCAGCCAGCCCCGGCCGGTATTATTTTGTATAGCGCCCAATCGGATCATTGTAACTACACGGTCGACGATCCCGACTTGACCTACAGCACCGTTTTCACCGTGCAGGGCGTGAACGCGACGCGATCCATCCTAGAGCAGCTATCTTCCCATTCCAACCACAGTTTCTCGAGCATTGGGCCCGATATGGCGTCTATCGGCAACGGGTCGGTGACTGGGGGAGGCACCGGGTCTGATTCCAGTGGCTCTTCAGTGGGATCGGGATCTCTGGCAGGGGCGTCGCCCACGACGGCAGTCGCGATGATCATCCTGTACAGTATCACCGGCATCATCACGGCGCTCTTTCTGGGGATCATCATCACCGGAGCGATCCGGGCTCACCGCCATCCGGAACGCTACGGTCCCCGAAATGTCGTGGGCCGCCCACGCCAGAGCCGAGCCCGGGGGTTGGCGAGAGCCATGCTCGAGACGATACCTATTGTGAAGTTTGGCGATCCCGACGACCGGGTTGACGCTGCCGCGAAGGGTGACGTTGAAATGGCCTCCGGACACGAGGTGGATGGCACGGATAGGCCGGAAGAACAGCGGGCATCTGCGCCCAACGCGAACGAGACGGGGCGCTCACCCGAGTCGCCATCTAACGGCAACAATTCCGAAGATGCTGGCAAGGAAGCTACCCCAGCGGCCAAAGAAACCGCTGGGTACGAACACTCCAATGAAACGGGCAACTACGTGTGTCCCATCTGTACCGACGACTTTGTCAAAGGCCAAGACGTGAGAGTCCTGCCGTGCAATCATCAGTTCCATCCGGAGTGTATTGACCCATGGCTGGTCAATGTGTCGGGGACGTGTCCTCTTTGGTGAGTCAACCCTTGAGACGTGCTGTTGTGACATTCACTGACATTCTCTTTTCTTAGTCGGATCGACCTCAATCCTGCCGAAGAGCAGGACGGAGACAGTGATGATGCAGAGCGACATCCACACGCCTCCGGCCTGCCACTGGAGGTGCCCCAGACAGAAGCCTCGACGGGTGCGATTCAGCACCGGGGCCTGTCTAGCTATTTCCCGGACATGCGACGAATGCGTCATGCCCCAGTTGAAGAACGGATCGCTGCTCTGAGGAGACTCCGACAGTCGAGCGAGCTGGTTCGAGATGCGGATGCTGCGGAGTTGACGGCGGAGGAGAGACAAAACCGCCGGAGAAGCCTGACGGCACGGTTGCGGGAGCGATTCAGGATACGGACCCGGCAACATGATGACCAACCTCCCCCAGCACCTCCATCTCAACCGCCCTCGACTCTCTGAGCAGGATCTTTTTCTCACCTTTTTTTTTCAAGTTCTTTTTTTTTCTTTCCAATTTCGTGGACATTTCGCACACCTGGCGTGTTGCATTCGGCGCATGATAAGTGATTGATCAGCTTACGGTTGCGCTTTTCAGTCATTGCACAGTGATCATACTAGCATGGCATACATGATTCCATCTGGCGGACAGGGCCGGGTATATAAATAAGGGACGGAAAAGTTGGAATGACATGTGGCGGCGTTTACGGTGTTCTGGCGCGATCTATCTATCTATTGTGGACGATTGCATTTCTTTGACATTTACCTGGCATTATTGCTACGATCATGTTAGAATGAGATATGCATGTACTACCTAGTATCATCTTTTGCATTTTCTCCTCACTCTCCTCCGTAAGAATGAATGGCTGCTGAATGCGTTCTCGAGCCCGGATATGACGGACCGACGCCCGAGATGCAGTGACGCCGGGCTTGGCCAATCATGTGATTGCAGACGGTGCGGGGTGGTTGGCCAGCAACTCCGAGCGGACTGAACAGAACATGGCGTTACGCATGACTATGAGGTGCTTGTTGTCCGAAACATTTTCGCAACGAGGGGAATCATTGTGTTACATGGGCAATATTGCATCTTGTTGCAGACATGTTCCAGACATTGTGCGATGAACAGGCAGACGAGACCACTGTCTCAGGGACCGCATTGATAATGGCTGCTTGGTGATAGGGTGGGAGCAGTGGAGATCACGGGGCTGGATTACGACGGATGGCCCAGGAAGGCAATATTCCTGAGGCACGAGGTCAGGCATGTGACAAAGCACATGCACCAGCACAAACACATCGTAAGAGCTCTCCTGAGGATTGGACAGATCACTCCACAGTCTACAGTTGGAGAAGTTGGAGAACGAGTTCCTCAGGTCTTCGGTAAAGACGAGCCTCGGCTGTCGTCAACATATCGCCAGGTATATTATATAGATAGATGTAATTTTTTTTTGGCCCTCAATCGACTATTTAGACCATCTAGACACTTCCACTCCCAGCTCCTGCTGTTGTCCTGCTGCTGTCTAGCACTGCGTTGTACTGCACATTCTCTTCTGACAGTCACGCGCCCCCTTAATTACTGCTTTTCAGCTTGCCATAAGATAAAAAAAAATTACCAGCAGCCTGCTCTGCACCACAGACAAGCAGCTAGGCAGTCGACACGTTCCATCAGTCACTGATTCCGACGGCATCTGAAACAGACAGAAGCTTCGTGAGTCACACCGGTGAGCATACAAGGCAAAACCATGCCACCCTCGATCCAGAGCTAACGACGGAAAGAATCGCGAGGAACGTGGAACGTGCGGAAACTCCGTTTCTCCGCAGTGCGCTGTTCCTTCGGGCGATTTGATTTATTCTTAGCAGTCACGCAAGGCCGCCATGCCTCCACCCCCTCATCGCCAACTCCACCCCCAGGCCCAGCAGCCTCCACACCGGTCCGCCGTTCACGCGCATTCTCAGGGCAGTACTGCTGCTACAACTACATCATCCTCGTCCTCGTCGTCTTCCTGCTCCTCATCGCATTCTGCATCGCAGACTCGTCTCTCCCAGATTTCGTCACACATCATGGGGTCCACCAGTCCCTCCGTGTTCACGGCCGCCCATGTGGCGCAGGCCCCCGAGGATCCTTTGTTTGGCTTGATGCGAGCGTATCGCCAGGACCCGTCTGATAAGAAGATCGATCTGGGCATTGGCGCGTACCGCGATGACAATGCGAAGCCGTGGATTCTGCCTGTGGTGAAGAAGGTACTGTAATTCTTACATTACGGACTGGTTATCCCTTGCTGGACTGTTTTAACTGACACCATATCCGTCAACAGGCGGAGGAGATCCTGCGCAACGATCCCAACCTCAACCACGAATATCTGCCCATCTCTGGCTTAGCCGAGTTTACCTCCGCAGCACAGAAGCTGATCTTTGGCGCCGATAGCCCCGCAATCAAGGAGAAACGAGTATGTTGTCGTCCTGCCTTCCCCTCAGCCTCCCCGCACAGCCCAGTCCATCGCCAGGTTTGTCTACCGAGTAACTAACGTGATGTCGCTTCTGTCAACAGGTCAGCACTCTTCAGACCATCTCAGGTACCGGCGCTGTCCATCTCGGAGCTCTCTTCCTGGCGAAATTCCACCCCGCGCAGCCGCGTCCGACGGTCTACCTGTCCAACCCGACATGGGCGAACCACAACCAGATCTTCACCAACGTCGGCCTGTCCATCGCCACCTACCCGTACTTCTCCGCAAAGACCAAGGGGCTGGACATTGATGGCATGCTCGGTGCGCTGCGTGCGGCGCCGGAGGGCTCCGTCGTCCTGCTGCACGCCTGCGCCCACAACCCGACCGGCGTCGACCCGACGCAGGAGCAGTGGAAGCAGATCGCGGCGGTCATTCGCGAGCGGCACCACTTCCCGTTCTTCGACTGTGCCTACCAGGGGTTCGCCTCGGGGGATCTGGCGCGGGATGCGTGGGCGATCCGGTACTTTGTCGAGCAGGGCTTCGAGCTGTGCGTGGCGCAGTCGTTTGCGAAGAACTTTGGTCTGTACGGCGAGCGCGCCGGAGCGTTTCACTTTGTGTCGGCGCCGGGCGCGGACGCGACGACGGCGAACCAGCACGTCGCCAGCCAGCTGGCCGTGCTGCAGCGGTCGGAGATCTCCAACCCGCCGGCGTACGGGGCCCGGATCGCCAGCTTGGTGCTGAACGACCCGAAGCTGTTTGCCGAGTGGGAGGAGGACCTGCGGACGATGAGCGGCCGCATCATCGAGATGCGCAAGGGACTTCGCCAGCGACTCGAGGCCAAGGGGACGCCGGGCACCTGGGACCACGTGACCAGCCAGATTGGGATGTTCAGCTTCACGGGGCTGACGGAGAATCAGGTGAAGATTCTGCGGGAGAAGTGGCACATATACATGGTGAGTGCGCCTATTTATAGCCTGGTGAACTCGGATATACCGTATTCCGGATACAACTTCGGAGAAACGGGTCGATCGGCGGTCCACATCTCCGCATTGTTCTTAGTTTCTGACTGACTGACTGACTTCTCCTCCAGACTAAGAACGGACGCATCTCCATGGCCGGTCTCAACTCGCACAACATCGACTACTTTGCGGAAGCGGTGGACAGCGTTGTGCGCGAGACTACTGCGTAGAAGTACCTGCACCCGGATAGAAGCATAACCGACAATGACTGTGACCGTAACCGGATTCCATGATTTAAATGATTGGATTTGATTATGTACTCGCCATAGATCTAGAACGGACAGGCAGGCAGACGGACGGACAGGAAGACAGAGAGACAGAGAGAGAGAAAAAAAAAGAGAGAGACAGAGAGGACAGGACAGACAGGACTTGCTTGTACCATTGTTTTCCCCCTCCCCATCCCCCCCTCACCAAACAAAATCTTTTTTTTGTTTTTCTTTTCTGAATACTATGGACTGGATGGAATAAATGGAATAAATGGACTGAATGAACGAAATGGAATGGAATTGGAACGAAATGAAAATGGAATACAATAAAATTACAATAAGATAAAATACAATAAGTAGTAGTAGTAGTAGTAGTAGTAGTAATCATTACTACTTGCTACTTACTACTACAGTATTAGACTCGATTGGTTGATTGATTTCCAGTATTTTTTTTTAGGTCAGGTCAGGTCAGGTCAGTTCAATTCAGTTCAGCTTAGTAAATATAAATAAAAAATAATCCTGGGTACAGTACAGTTCAGTTCTTTCTTTCTTTCTTTCTGTCTCTGTCTGTTGTATCGATCGACCTTCCCAGTCAGTCAGTCGGTCGGTTGGTCAGGCTAATATATATATATATTTATATATGGCTGGCATTGGTTAAATATATAAAATAAACTCGATGGAATGTATATTATTCATTCATTCCATTCCATTTTAATAATAATATTCCATTCCATTCAAAAACGCCAACTCCTTGAACTGACCTTGACTGACTGACTGACTCGAATCGAAAGAAATAATTACCATTCTACAAACGAAAATTATTATTTTTCTTCAAGAAGTCGAATAACCATAATCTCTAATTCTACTAGAATATCGCATCCCACACCACCAACCACGTACACAACCCCACCGTCCCCCAAAACACCAGCTGCGCCGTGCTCCGCCGCTCCGTCGCCCGTTTCAGCTCCTTGTTGCCCCGGCTGACGTTCTCCGACGTGGTCGCGGCGTCGGTCACCAGCTGGCTGATGTACTCTTCCTGCGTGGCCAGGTGGCTGACGAGGGTTTGCTGGAGGGAGGAGATTTCGAGGAGGGATTTTTCGGCGTTTCTACAGACCATCATCGTCAATATCAATATCAATATCAATATCCAGACCGTAGGGATTGGGAGGGGAGATTTGTGCGGATATTCCTGGGGATAGGGCTACGTACTGCACCTTGCTTAGCGTATCCTCGTACTGTTTGAGCATCGCATCGTTCTCCTCTGCAAACAGCTGTAGCTGTTCTGGTGAGAGCTGCGACTCGATATCGGCGACTTCGCCCTCGCTCATTGTCAGGGCTGTGTCGCGGACGCCTGTCCATTCACCAGCGCCAGCAGCACCTTCAAAAGTTGTCGCTGTCGCTGTAACTGCCGTCGGCGACGTCCCACCCGCCTTGTACAGCACGCTCTTCTCCCGCTCTCTCACCCGCTCGATCCGCTTCTCCACCATCCCGCGCTGCACCTCCGCCGCCTCCTCGAGCGCCCGCCGCAGATACCAGAGAATGCTCTCGCGGACGGTGCGGATCGTGCGCGCCGCCTCCTCGTCACGCTCCTGCTCCGGCGTTTTCCTCGCGGACAAGGCGCCCCCTCCGCCCGCAGCCCACCGCCACAGCACGCTGTTGTTGGCATGTCCGTATTTCTTCCGCAGGAGCGTCTCCTCTGTTTCCTGCCGGAGGGATTCTGCGGATGAGAGGTTGCTGATCGACGACGAGAGGTCCCGCAGGAGTAACGCCGTGGACGAGTCGATCGAGTCTCGTTCGGCGTCGGTCAGGTGCTTGGTCTTGGTCTGTTGGGTTGAAGATGTAGATAGCGTACGACGGGAGGAGTACGCTGGTTTAGCTGTCGTAGATGACGACGACGACGATGATACCGCCGGCGCGGTAGCGATAGACAGGTACGAATGACGGATGGACTGTAGATATCGAAGGAGAGAGTTGATATGGGAGTTCTAGAAATATCACCAATCGAGTCAGTCAGTCGTTCGTCAAGCAATTCAATTAGCTAGTCCCAACGAATTGTGCAATCAGTAGATAGCAGGTCAAGCACTAACTATTCTGTACGCTTCCTTGAGGAACTCATTCACCGTCTCGGTGGAGGCAGCACGCGCATGACGCTCGGGAATTACTGCCGCCTCAGCGTGTCTCTCCCGAAGGAGCTGGTTGATGGAAGGCGTAAGATCGGTCATTGTCAGCCGGAAAACAAATTAAATAAATATAATCATTGGAGCTGATTGTCTGTATTGGGCTGGCCAGCTGTCAACGTTAGCTAGGTAGCTAGCTATTATCGTCTGGCGGCTGGCCATCCCGAGTCTGTTATTAGGTCACGTCACGGAGCATTATTGTTGCGCTGGTGGTCCGTCCAGCGCGCCATACGGGTATGCCCTAAGTATCTCTATACTGCATCTGGCAATGCTATCAGCTTCCAATCACATAGAATGAAAATAAAAGCCTATATATACGGAGTAATAGATACTAGGTCGGTAGGCATGACTAACGAAGCCCAGGCATTCTTTCTTTCCCTTCAAGTCTAGATGAGCGGGGAGAATCCATTATTAACTAAACTAATACAGTAACCATCGACTTGCTGTACACGTGAGGGTATGCACTCTATACTATAAAAGACAGAAAAATCAAAGCTAGATTATCTCTTGATTTACGCTGAGAAATAAAGTCACTGACAGTAGCTGTATGACCGAAAAATCCATGCATACGATACAAATCTGAGGTATCACAGCACAGATATCCAAGCAAGCCTGATTCAGGCAGTGTTAATTACAAGCAAAGAAAATAAAAAAGGGGGGATATCGACTCGTCAATCGTCAGCTTTTTGAAACAGAATCAGCAATCAAAAATCGAAAGTAATCGAGAAGATGAATAAACAAACTGGAATGGATTCCGGAAGAATTTCGAGAATCACAAGACGATAATCAATCAATCAATCAATTCTCGGCGTAAGGCTGCCGAGAGCTCAGTGGGGAAATAGATGAAGTCTATCTAGGCATAGAAGATCAATATATTATTGCTCCCTCTGGGGAAGAAAAAGAAGAACTGACTAGGAGCCGGCGTTGAGGTCGGCTCTAAATCTGCGTGGCCGGTTTGGCGGTCACGTGGTAACTGACAGCTGATTGGTCAGACCTGGCAGCTGCCTGAATGCCGTATGGGTCAGGCACCAACACACCCCCCTCAGCGCCAGGGCTGGCCAACAAATTCTACATACATGAAGTCCTTTCCAAAGGTTATTTTGACTTGACCAATCCCATTGTTCCGTTTATTCGTCGTTATGGTCGTCAATTCCATCATCCTTGACGTCCACTTTGTGTAGACCAATCAGATCCTTGAAAATTGTAAACTTCTC